ATAATAGGTGAAATTTAAGAAAAGAACAAAAACAAACAAAAAATAGTGCTATGATATGAATAGATCTAGAATAGAAACATAATAAGAATAGAACTAGGAAAAAAATAGAACCGGGACAAAAATAATAGCAACAGAACAGGAATAAAAAGAAAAAATAGAAATAGAACCAGGACAAGCAGAATAAAACCAGAACTAGAAAATAAACAGAACAAGCAGAATAAAACCAGATCAAGAATATAAACAGAACAAGCAGAATAAAACCAGAACTAGAATATAAACAGAACAAGCAGAATAAAACCAGATCAAGAATAAAAACAGAATAAGAAAAATAGAACTATACGAGAAAAATAGAACCAATCAAGCAGAATAAAACCAAAACAAAAATATAAACAGGACAGGAAGAATACAAGCAATACAAGAATATAAACATTACAAGAAGAATACAACCAATACAAGAATATAAACAGGACAAGAAGAATACACCCAATACAAGAATACAAACAGGACAAGAAGATTAGAACCAGAACAAGAATATAAACTGGAAAAGAAAAATAGAACCAGAACAAGAATATAAACAGGACAAGAAGAATAAAACCAGAACAAGAATATAAACATGACAAGCTAAATACAACCAATACAAGAATATAAACAGGACAAGAAGAATACAACCAATACAAGAATATAAACAGGACATGAAGTATACAATCAATACAGAAAAATAAACATTGCAAGAAGAATACAAGCAATACAAGAATATAAACAGGACAAGAAGATTACAACCAATACAAGAATATAAACAGGACAAGAAGAATAGAACCAAAACAAGCATATAAACAGTACAAGAAGAATACAACCAGAACAAGAATATAAACAGGGCAAGAAGATTACAACCAATACAAGAATATAAACAGGACAAGAAGAATAGAACCAAAACAAGAATATAAACAGGACAGGAAGAATACAACCAGAACAAGAATATAAACAGGACAAGAAGATTACAACCAATACAAGAATATAAACAGGACAAGAAGAATAGAACCAAAACAAGAATATAAACAGGACAAGAAGAATACAACCAGAACAAGAATATAAACAGGGCAAGAAGATTACAACCAATACAAGAATATAAACAGGACAAGAAGAATAGAACCAAAACAAGAATATAAACAGGACAAGAAGAATACAACCAGAACAAGAATATAAACAGGGCAAGAAGATTACAACCAATACAAGAATATAAACAGGACAAGAAGAATAGAACCAAAACAAGAATATAAACAGGATAGGAAGAATAGAACCAAAACAAGAATATAAACAGGGCAGGAAAAATACAACCAGAACAAGAATATAAACAGGACAAGAAGATTACAACCAATACAAGAATATAAACAGGACAGGAAGAATACAACCAATACAAGAATATAAACAGGACAGGAAGAATACAAGCAATACAAGAATATAAACAGGACAAGAAGATTACACCAATACAAGAATATAAACAGGACAAGAAGATTACACCAATACAAGAATATAAACAGGACAGGAAGAATACAATAATTGGAAAGAATAAACAATTTATATGATAAGAAAAAGACAAAATTAAATTTAAAAACGAGAAAGTTGCAATTAAGAAGATTTGACTGATTAATGGCAACAGAACAAAAATTACAGAATAAGAGAAACTCCATAGCTAGAAATCTAGACGATCTTTAGGCGGATAAAAGAAAACTAGACGAGGAAAAAAGTGAAATTGTAATCCAGACATTGTAGATCTGTTCAAACTTGAAATGAACATTATATATTCTGTGGAGAAGACCCATTAAATAGGATTCTATCACTAGAGTGTCCGGAGTAATCCCAGTTTACTCGTCCTACCTTCATTATACTCACTTATACTCACTAGAGAGTCCGGAGTAATCTCATTTTACTCATCATACCTTCTTTATACTCACTAAAGGATCCGGAGTAATCTCAGTTTACTCGTCCAACCTTCATCATACTCACTAGGGGATCTGGAGTAATCTCATTTTACTAGGCTAACCTTCATCATTCATAAGAACATTTTTATACTTTATCGGACAGTATAAGAACATTTTTTATACTTTATCGGACGAATATTAGGACATTTTTTATACTTTATCGGACAAATATAAGAACATTTTTATACTTTATCGGACAGTATAAGAACATTTTTTATACTTTACCGGACAAATATAAGAACATTTTTTTATACTTTAACAGACAAATATATGAACATTTTTTATACATTATCAGACAAATATAAGGACATTTTTTATACTTTATCAGACAAATATAAGAACATTTTTTATACTTTATCGGACAAATATAAGAATATTTTTTATTCAACCTGAAAACATTGAAGCGTATTTCATTCAGATACATTTTTAATATTTTTATCGGGGACTGTCGTTGTAATTTCACGTGACCAAGGGGCATGTACGATTCACAACCTTTATTTAATCAATATTCTGGAAGATATTGTCGTTTTTCTATTTTGAAAAGGGTTTAATGCGGACATTTTCCTCCATTGTTTCTATGAATTTTAACTTGTCATTTTATATAAAATTTAAAATTTTCAAAAAATATTTCCATGTATATAAATATAATAAAATACATTTTTGAATGCCTCTCCTTTCACTCCTTTATAGAAAGTCATGAAGTAGTAGAGGTAGAAGTAAAAACTGGAGGAGTGCAGTATTTCTGTATAAAACTAGGTTCTAAGGTTAGGTTAGCATGTGGAGGGTTGCATGTAATAACTAATTACTAATGTATTAGGTTTAGTATTTAACCGTGCATTAGCATTACTGATACATTGATACAGTTCTTTTACTCACCCGCTTAAATATTAATAAGTAATTTACTCTGTTCTGTATAGTGTATACTGATGACGGTTAATTAATAAAACTTTTATCATAATAATATATATATATTTATTCAATAATTCTAATTGTCGTGTAAACCTATTCTATCTAGGAATGATATTAACTTGTATGAAACGTTTTATTCATATTTTGGAATTTTTAAGATATACTTAATTTTCGGAACAAATGCAGAGTTCATAATTCTATTTTTAAACAGAAAAAAATCGATACAAATCTACACAAAGTTTGTCGCGGGAAAGGTCCATTGGTAAGAATTATATTTAGAATTTTTATTTATTTGATTTTTACGTCATTTTGATCTGGTGATTTGAGATTTCCAGGACTTTAGAGTGACACTTCCGATTTACAGCTGTCGAGTGACACTTCCGATTTACAGCTGTCGAGTGACACTTCCGATTTAAAGCTGTAGAGTGACATTTCCGATTTAAAGCTGTAGAGTGACACTTCCGATTTAAGCTGTAGAGAGACACTTCCGATTTAAGCTGTAGAGTGGCACTTCCGATTTACAGCTGTAGAGTGACACTTCCGATTTACAGCTGTCGAGTGACACTTCTGATTTACAGCTGTAGAGTGTCACTTCCGATTTACAGCTGTCGAGTGACACTTCTGATTTATAGCTGACGAGTGTTTACTTTACTTGTTTACTTGAAGTCTTGAATCAAGCGCCCCACTGATAAGGACATTGTAAATACATCTTTCAGATCTTCCAATCTGGTACATTAATCTTTCATTTAGTTTCCTTCCTTTTAATCCTCAGACTGGCGGAGTTTCCACTGTGTGTATTTGCTTTTAAAGGATCCAACCGATTTGGCGTTTTTTATTTCCTTTGGTAGGTCATTCCATTGTTGAACTACACGATTAGAGAAAAATCTTCTTCTCAACTCTGAATTTGAAAGTTTACTTTTAATGTTCAAGGGATCTACTGAAAGCCGTGTTACTCTCTTTCCTCTGTCTTCTACAAACTCGAACCAAACTCTTCTATCAACTCTATCAATCTCATGTACAGTTTTGAAAATTTGGACCATGTCAAAATGAATCCGCCTGTCCTTCAGACTAAGTATGCGGAGTTCTTTTAACCTGTCTTCGTAATTATAGCTGTATAGTCCGGAGATCATGGTGGCAGCTCTTTTTTGTACATTTTCTAGTACTTCTTAATCCTGGTGAAGCCATGGGTTCCATGCTGGTGTCAAAAATTCAGTATGGGGCCTGACATAAGGTGTGTACAGGTTTAAGAAGGTTTTTCTGTCTCTGTAGTGAAAGGAGGGTGCTATTTGGGTAAAAACACCATTTGCTTTTCTGGCTGCTTCCTTACACTGGAGGGATGGCTTAAGAGATTTATGTATTATAACTCCAATATCTATTTTTTTACACTGGAGGGATGGCTTAAGAGATTTATGTATCATAACTCCAATATCTATGTTTTTACAATGGAGGGATGGCTTAAGAGATTTATGTATTATAACTCCAATATCTATTTTTTTACACTGGAGGGATGGCTTAAGAGATTTATGTATTATAACTCCAATATCTATTTTTTTAATGTTTTAGATAGGACCTGGTTGTTCAATAAGTAGTTTGTTTCAGAATTACCTCCTCCCACATGCATAACCTTGCATTCATCAGTGTTAAATCTTCGGATTTACAGCTGTCGAGTGACACTTCTGATTTACAGCTGTCGAGTGACACTTCTGATTTACAGCTGTCGAGTGAACTTCTGATTTACAGCTGTAGAATGACAATTCTGTTTTACAGCCGTCGAGTGACACTTCTGTTTTACAGCTGTCGAGTGACACTTCTGTTTTACAGCTGTCGAGTGACACTTCTGATATACAGGTTTACCCCTTAACCCTTCGCTTAAGAACCGACAATAAAGAAATCCACCAGTTTAACGCGATTAATATATGATTTAAGAAATTCGAATAAGAATATTTATTTTCTTTGACTTCCAGTGCACAACTCATAATATTTGTTAAACATGAAACAGCTCATAATATTTGTTAAACATGAAACAACTCATAATATTTGTTAAACATGAAACAACTCATAATATTTGTTAAACATGAAACAACTCATGATATTTGTTAAACATGAAACAGCTTTCATACATACCAATTTATTAACAATTACAATGGATTCATACGCGCGTAAACTCATGCTCGACAAAAAGTGTTTACAGGGTACCGTTGTGAAGCGAACATGAATATTTTTTTTTTGGAGGAATTCATTTATCAGTAAACATGGCAATTAAATTTACATATCCGGTGTTTGTCGTAAAACCAAATATTTGCTTTTTTTGTGGTGTTTTTTTCTCATTTACTCAATTACATTATACAAATTTTAATTACATAAATATAATTACCAAAATGCTTGACAAAAATTTGTTTATTAAAACAAACGGAATAAAGTTGGATTATAAAGACTTAAAGCTCGTCATGGTGAATGTGCAGATCTTCTCCAAAATTTGTTGCTTGACTCGACACAAATATACTGTACCTAACAACAAATATGCTATACTTAACAACAAATATACTATACTTAACAACAAATATACTATACTTAACAACAAATATGCTTTATCTAACAACAGATATGCTATACTTAACAACAAATATGCTATACTTAACAACAGATATACTATACTTAACAACAAATATGCTGTATCTAACAACAGATATGCTATACTTAACAACAGATATGCTATACTTAACAACAAATATACTATAATTAACAACAAATATGCTGTATCTAACAACAAATATGCTGTATCTAACAACAAATATGCTGTACTTAAAAACAAATATGCTGTATCTAACAACAGATATGCTATACTTAACAACAAATATACTAAACCTAACAACAAATATGCTGTATCTAACAACAAATATGCTGTACCTAGCAACAAATATAGAAGACCTAACAGCAAATATGCTATACATATCAATAAATATGCTTTACCTAACAATAAATATGCTTTACCTTACAACAAATACACAAAACCAAACAACACATATACTAAACCTAACAACAAATATGCTATACATATCAACAAATATGCTGTACCTAACAATAAATATGCTATACTTAACAACAAATATACTTTATATTAACAACAAATATACTAAACCTAACAACAAATATGCTATACATATCAACAAATATGCTGTACCTAACAATAAATATGCTTTACAAATCAAAAAATATACATTATGTTAACAACAAATACCTAGCAAAAAATATACTAAACCTAACAACAAATAAACTTTATGTTAACAACAAATACCTAGCAACAGATATACTAAACCTAACAACAAATATACTAAACATAGCAATAAATATACTAAACCTAACAACAAATATTCTAAACCTAACAACAAATATACTAAACCTTACATACAGGTCAGATTCTGGGTAGGAGGTTTTTTTAATGTTAATAATTTTAAAATGTGTTTCAATTCTGATTTTTTGAATCCAAACACTATAAAAACATTATTTATATTTAATGTAGCCAAATATTTTTCCAAACACTTTGAAGTTAGAGAATTAAAAAAATTCAAAACTTAAAAAAGGGAAAAAAATGATGTTTATAAACCTGGTAAGTGCTTCATCTTTACTGAGTAATCTATCTCCATTAGTATCCGACTCCAGTACTAGGTGTTCAGCTTCTGCTTCATGTGGATCATAATCAGTAGGAAGCAACCAGGCCTAGATATATAGATACATAGATACATAGATACATAGATAGATAGAGAGATAGATAGATAGATATATAGATACATAGATACATAGAGAGATAGATATATAGATACATAGATACATAGATACATAGATAGATAGATATATAGATATATAGATACATAGATACATAAAAAGATAGAGAGATAGATAGATAAATAGATACATAGATAGATAGATAGATAGATAGATAGATAGATATATAGATAGATAGATAGAAAGATAGATAGATAGATATATAGACAGTATACACCTAGCTTTCAGAGAAGCAACAACTGGCTCTGGTTCAGCGCTTCTAAAGTACTCAGAGATACAGGGTGAGAGAGAGAAATTGGGAACTCTGTAAACCCTGGAAAAAGTCTGTAACACTGTAAACCCTGGAAAAAAAACTGTAACTCTGTAAACCTTGGATAGAGACGGTAACTCTGTAAACCTTGGATAGAGACGGTAACTCTGTAAACCTTGGATAGAGACGGTAACTCTGTAAACCTTGGATAGAGACGGTAACTCTGTAAACCTTGGATAGAGACGGTAACTCTGTAAACCTTGGATAGAGACGGTAACTCTGTAAACCCTGGATAGAGGCGGCAACTCTGTAAACCTTGGATAGAGGCGGTAACTCTGTAAACCTTGGATTAGAATCTTGATGGGTCATGCACCATGCACTATGATACCAGTTTATACTCTGCTGGCTGCAAGGAAAAGATTGATTTAGACAAGGCCGTATTCTGAAGTACTGTGTCCGTGATGAACTTACAAGAACCAAAATTCTTTTGTCAAAAATATCCACTCCTTTCCTAACCTTTCTTATCCCATTTTTTATTATTAAGGCGGAATTCTGACAAAGAATTTCTTCGGAATTTTCAAACCCCACTTAGAACAGTAAATTTTTTTTCTCTCCAACCTGTAAGAATAATAACCGATGAATTTACGTTTGAACCTGAACCTTCAATCAGTTGACTCAGACATTCCTGGCAAAACTGAAAACTGCGGATCAGCTAGACAGAAGATACAAGTCAAAGAAAAAAATTCACTGCTCTTTTTAAAATTTTGTTAAAAAAAGAAAATCTCAAAGTTAATTTCTAAAAATTTTTAAAACCAGGATTTAGAAGAGGAAAAACATATAACCTTTTCATAACTTCTTGAAATATAAAGCCTAAGATTAAATTGTAGAAAAATAAAACTCAGTTCAAGTAAAATATAAACCTGGAGTTAAGCTCTAGTAAAATATAAACCTGGAGTTAAACTCTAGTAAAATATAAACCTGGAGTTAAACTCTAGTAAAATATAAACCTGGAGTCAAGTTCTTGTAAAATATAAATCTGAAGTCAAGTTCTTGTAAAATATAAACCTGGAGTTCTGGAGTTAAGTTCTTGTAAAATATAAACCTGGAGTTCTGGAGTTAAATTCTTGTAAAATATAAACCTGGAGTTAGGTTCTAGTAAAATATAAACCTGGAGTTAAGCTCTAGTAAAATATAAACCTGGAGTTTAGCTCTAGTAAAATATAAACCTGGAGTTAAGTTCTAGTAAAATATAAACCTGGAGTCAAGTTCTAGTAAAATATAAACCTGGAGTTCTGGAGTTAAGTTCTAGTAAAATATAAACCTGGAGTTAAGCTCTAATAAAATATAAACCTGGAGTTAAGCTCTAGTAAAATATGAACCTGGAGTTAAGCTCTAGTAAAATATAAACCTGGAGTTAGGTTCTAGTAAAATATAAATCTGGAGTTAAGTTCTAGTAAAATATAAACCTGGAGTTAAACTCTAGTAAAATATAGACCTGGAGTCAAGTTCTTGTAAAATATAAACCTGTAGTTAAGCTCTAGTAAAATATAAACCTGTAGTTGAGTTATTGTAAAATAAAAACTTGGAGTTAAGCTCTAGTAAAATATACACCTGGAGTTAAGCTCTAGTAAAATATACACCTGGAGTTAAGCTCTAGTAAACTATAAACCTGGAGTTAAGCTCTAGTAAAATATAAACCTGGATTTAAGTTCTAGTAAAATATAAACCTGGAGTTAAGCATTAGTAAAATTTTAAACTGGAGTTAAGATCTAGTAAAATATAAACCTGGAGTTAAGTTCTAATAAAATATAAACATGAAGTCAAGCTTTTGTAAAATATAAACCTAGAGTTAAGCTCTAGTAAAATATAAACCTGGAGTTAAGTTCTAGTAAAATATAAGCCTGAAGTCAAGTTCTTGTAAATTATAAACTTGGAGTTAAGCTCTAGTAAAATATAAATCTGAAGTCAAGTTCTTGTAAAATATAAACATGAAGTCAAGTTCTTGTAAAATATAAACCTGGAGTTCTTTTTTATCTATGAATCCGTCTTTATTTGTATCTCTGTACTGTTTGAACTGTAAACTTCCTGATTCCCAGTCAGCTACACTCTACAATATAGAATTACATTTGAAGATACATGCTGTATTTGGAACCAGAAAACCATGGAATAGAAAGACGACATTAAAGCAATGTTTAAGTGTATTTATGGTGTTACAAAGCAAATAGTTTTTCTGCTAACTTGTTAAATCCCTTGTTGAGTGCAAATAAACTGCATTAAAATATTTCGATTATTATTAAGATCTAAGACAAAATGTTTTCCAACTAAAAAATAAAAAGAAACTTTACCTTAGTATCACCGAAAATATTGAGAACGTATTCAGTCAAATTCAATTTTCCATCTCCGTCCTGAAAACAAGAAAGTGGAAACTTTAAACTTAACTTTTAAACTTTCTATTCAAATTTTCTATTTTCCACGGTTAAAATTCATCTCAAATCTTAAATCTCTCTTCTACGAACAAACTCCTCACATAAAATCTTACTATTTCAATTTATCATTTTCAGACATATATCAAAGTTAACTCAATTCATAATTATCTTTTACGTAAAAAATTGTGTAACCCACCTTGTCAAGGTCTGCCATGGTTTCCATTACCAGAATATCCGTCATGTGAGGTTCAGATTCAGGGTGTAGAAATCCTCGAAATTCAACCTTATCCAGCTCAAGGTTTTTATTCCTTAATAACAAGTGTTATTCACCTTTAATGCTGTCGGTGTTCCTGTTGGAATTCTCTAGCTCTTTGTCTGATTACCATATTTACCTGTCTACCTGTCTACCTGTCTACCTGTCTTCCTGTCTTCCTGTCTACCTGTCTACCTGTCTACCTGTCTACCTGTCTACCTGTCTACCTGCCTACCTGTCTACCTGTCTACCTGTCTACCTGTCTACCTGTCTACCTGTCTACCTGTCTACCTGTCTACCTGTCTACCTGTCTACCTGTCTACCTGTCTACCTGTTTACCTGTCTACCTTTCTACCTGTTTACCTGTTTACCTGTCTACCTGTCTATCTCCGTTCCTGTCTACCTATCTACCTGTCAGCAACCGTCCATCTCCTTCTATCCCTTTCTTCTAGGTTCCTGTATATCCTGAGAGTATCTGAATCAACATCATCTTCCCCAATCCATCTTCCATCCTCCCGGGCATCCAGACTATCTTCAATTAAAGGATTTTTAAAGGGACTTTACATGTATAAAGATTTAAAGGGTTGAAAAAGATTAAAGGGTTAAAGGTATAAAGATTTAAAGGGTTAAAGGTATAAAGATTTAAAGGGTTAAAGGTTTAAAGATTTAAAGGGTTAAAGGTTTAACGATTTAAAGGGTTAAAGGTATATAGATTTAAAGGGTTAAAGGTATAACGATTTAAAGGGTTAAAGGTATAAAGATTTAAACGGATAAAGGTATAAAGATTTAAAGGGTTAAAGGTATAAAGATTTAAAGGGTTAAAGGTATAAAGATTTAAAGGGTAAGGTTGTGAGTCGGATATGACATTCTTCATGTGAAGGGTCTATTTCACTTTAATTCTTTAATTCAAAAGTTCACGTTTTAGATACCCAGCTCAGCTTTAATTGACTAATACTTTTAGCCTCTGAACAAACTGAAAATTAACTTACGAAATAAATCGATAATGAAGGATGATCAAACCATGAACGAACAATGTTCGAATGATGAATGTACGATGATTGGGACTAGAAATGAGAGTTTGTGGCAAAAACTTAACTCGTTAAACAGACTTAATTCTGTAACATGGGATTATTTTAAGTTTGAATTATACTATTAAACTAAACACCCGGCGTCAAACCATCGATCTATGTGTAGATGAATTTCTAAATATTTAATTTCTAATTTAACTCTAAGTATTTGAAAAGGCATTTTGACATCTTATTAGACCAATAAAAATTATCATAAAAAAGATATGATCTCGTGAAAATTAAATTTTTTGAATTAGTCCATGAAATTAATATTGTTTTAAATATACCTGTAAGAAATCCGTACTGCCTTGCTCTATATTCATCCCAGCTGAGTTGAGATTTATTCTCCGGGTTAGATCTATACCAGAAGATGTCCGTTCTTTCAACCACACTCCGTATACCTACAGTACATGGATATCTTCTCCAGGTTAGATCTATACCAGAACATATCTGTTCTTTCAACCACACTCCGTATACCTACAGTACACAGATATATTCTCTAGGTTAGATCTATACCAGAACATATCTGTTCTTTCAACCACACTCCGTATACCTACAGTACATAGATATATTCTCCAGGTTACATCTATACCAGAACATATCTGTTCTTTCAAACACACTCCGTATACCTACAGTACATAGATATATTCTCCAGGTTACATCTATATCTGAACATATCTGTTCTTTCAAACACACTCCGTATACCTACAGTACATAGATATATTCTCCAGGTTACATCTATATCTGAACATATCTGTTCTTTCAAACACACTCCGTATACCTACAGTACATAGATATATTCTCCACGTTAGATCTATACCAGAACATATATGTTCTTTCAACCACACTCTGTATACCGTACACAAATATATTCTCCAGGTTACATCTATATCTGAACATATCTGTTCTTTCAACCCCACTCCGTATACCTACAGTACATAGATATCTTCTCCAGGTTAGATTTATACCAGAACATATCTGTTCTTTCAACCACACTCCGTATACCTACAGTACAAAAATATATTCTCCAGGTTAGATCTATACCAGAACATATCTGTTCTCTCAAACACACTCCGTATACCATACAGTACACAGATATATTCTCCAGATTAGATCTATACCAGAAGATGTCCGTTCTTTCAACCAAACTCCGTATACCTACAGTACATAGATATATTCTCCGGGTTAGATCTATACCAGAACATATCTGTTCTTTCAACCATACTCCGTATACCTACAGAACACAGATATATTCTCCAGGTTAGATCTATACCAGAACATGTTTGTTCTTTCAACCGGACTCCGTATACCTATTAGAACTATTAGAAAAGGAATCTGAAAAAGAGGTCCCGTTATGAACCCCCCAGACCGCCGGCAGGCATGGGAAGCACCGTCCCACACCTACTCTAGCTGGACCTTTATACTCACAACAATTAGCCCATTGTCCGATAATAAAAAGGTGATACATTCCAGCCAGTGGCTCATCAATTAACTCCATTGGATGATTGGTATCAAACAACCCTTTAGGCGAAGAAAAGAGGTTACCCGCATTTAGACTGTTCCTGACAAGTCCATCCACCGCTCCAGCAGTGAGTTTATCTTTACGGTCCTTTTCAGCAGCACTTCTTTTGAGACATTGTCTCCCCCTAGTATCCCAGTGAGGATAGCCGTATCGCTCCGAGACCTCCCTGTCATAAGGGCTCCTAGCCCTGTTGTAGACCTCTCATAGGCTACTGCTTGACAGGATACAACAACGTGATGCTCTGAAAGGTGGTTAACTATACCTTTACTTAGGCATAGCGGACACCACTTTGTGGCGGAGCCATGGATGTTTGGGCGCCTGTTCCCAAGCCCTGCATCCCCGGCTCTCAGTCTGTTCAAAACACCCCCTACCTTGCTATCGCATACATGTGGCTTCACCATTAAATTTGGAAATCTAAAATTAAAAATTATTGAATTGACGTCATGTCAATCTATTCATATCTTTACTATCTTTTACTTACAGTAAAAAACTTAAAACTGAAATTCCAGATTGAAATATCTTTACTATATTTAGTTCTTTGATAAAGAATGAAAAGTATTTTAGTTAGATTGTATTAAACTAATGTTTGAAATCCAGTTTTATTTAGTTTAGTTCATGTTGTTTGTTTGATGGAAGATTATAAGAGTATGTAAGGGGAATGTCCTCCTGCTGTTTTATTATATTAAACCAAGGGGAAATACAATGAATAATCTACATTCTACGTAATTTAGGGTTAGCAACAAAGAATGAGTCTTTAAAGACGACTTTAACACTGTAAACTATACAAGGACCAGGGACCAGATTTAATTAATTTGAGCTTGGTCTAAACACGGTTCAACCACGTATCTTGATAAATCGGCGGTAGGTAGTTAAGCGACCTAGCTCAAGTTCCTTAAATTCGGTCATAGATACTTTTCAGACCCAACTCTAAAATATATGGTTTTCTCAAACTTGTCAGTTAATTCTTTGTTGCTCCATGATGTATCAGCATTTAAATACGACACATTATCTGCTGATTTTACTTTCAGGCTTTTCAAGAATCCAGGCAGCAAAAAAATCCNCCCATCAAGAAGGCTTGGAGAAGTGCAAACTATAATTTTTCATATGGATTCTTGAGGAAACACAACATTGCGTTTATGTCTTTAGGTTTAAAAGTTTCAAACATTTTCTATGGCGGGACACTGCCTCCTTGCTTCCTTGTTGTTGACATATCTCATTCTTTATTGACATTTGACAACCCTTTATATTACAAGGTATAGAATTGACTACTAAGGAAGGATGAAGGACTTTCTTCTTAAACAAAGGTTAAAAACTAGATCTGAAACGACTGCAATGGTTTTTATCTAACATTGAATAAAATATAGGAATGAGTTCATAAAAGAATTGAGCCTCTGTTACAAACTCAAATTTTTTAATCCCTATATATTCGCAACCTGATGGTGTAAACCTTAAATCATTTGATCTAATAGATCTCATAGTTTGACATATATTTTATAGTCATTGGGCTGCAAAGTTATAGGTATTATAAAAACAACGTTTACGGCAAAGACTAAATTCTATAAAATCATATCCAAGAATAAAAAAGAAAGGGACAACTTGACAAGGCACAAAAATAAGAAAGCATTTCCTCAAATAAACCTTTTCAGCAGTAGTAAAGAACTTATAACGTTCAAAGTCAAATGAATAATATCACATAATATTTTCATCGAAATTCCGTTTTCCGGAAATGATCTATATTTTAAGTGTTTACCGGAAATTTTACGTTTATCATTTTGACCGGAATTCCACTTTCCGGACAAGATTTCCGGTTCATTTTTTCTCGGAATAAACATTTTCAATGAATAATTACACCCTAATCGCAATAACTGTTAGGAACCAAGGTTGTAATGCAAGGAAAGTTATTTCAGAGGTATACGCATCTTTTGTACTGCAGTGTACTGTGTCTGGGCGGTAATGTAAACATAATACGGATGTCACAGCCTGACATGGGACCCATCTTTCACATAAAAAATCAGTGAAATATTCTGATTATAGGAAACTATTATGTAAATTATCAAAATTATCAAAATTTAATGCTTTTAGCCTTTTCGGATACTTGAGTAACACTGATGCATCTATTCTTGTTTACAAATTCCGCCCAGAGAGACCTGGTTTCAATATGTACGCAGAGTATACGCAACTGCAATTAACTTTCCTTGCATTACAACCTACTACATATCCTCAAGGCTCTACCTGTATCCTTAATCCAGACCCTGAGTTCCTCTACACTAACTAGTCCGTCCTTGTTTATATCAACCTTCTCCAGGATCTTACTCAACCTTGCCTTGCTTTCCTCAGGTGTTAGGCTCTTAAACGACTCCGCTTCATCACCAAGAAAAGCCTTAAAGTGAAAATATTTTGTAGAGAATGTTCACAGTTTTTCTAAATATCTAAAGATAAGTTTTTATCCGCTGTTTTTTTCTTTAATGATAGCAGTGCAAATACATCCTGTCTGTACTGTCTAAAGTAAGCTGCAAACAAAATATATCCAGTCTGAACTGTCTAAAGTAAGCTGCAAACAAAATATATCCAGTCTGTACTGTCTAAATTAAGCTGCAAACAAAATATATCCAGTCTGTACTGTCTGTAAGCTGCAAACAAAATATATCCAGTCTGTACTGTCTAAAGTAAGCTGCAAACAAAATATATCCAGTCTGTACTGTCTAAAGTAAGCTGCAAACAAAATAGTTCTAGGAATGGGACCGTTGACTGGTTTAAAAATTCTGGAGAAAACTTATGAGTCAATTGATATTGTATTGCTTGGGGTTAGCCTTACAAAACATTTTTTTGCGTTTTTTAACAGACTTCTGCAACATACGATTATTTATGTTTGATTTATACTATTAAACTTAACATCCGATATCTAAGTGTTATTTAATTTTACAGATTATTGTCGCTTCGTTGTGGTGCTTTTTTAATATCAATTATAATAAGTGTTTCCTAACTTAGCAATACTATAGTATATGAATAAAAAT